AAAAGAAATAAAGGAAAGAAAAATGCTACTGACGTGATTCAAGGGATTAGCCTTGATCACAGGACAACTAATCAATAATTCTATGAAATCTAACACCCCCCTTCAAGTTGGAGCATGCAAATTTGAAATGCCCAACTTGCGAAGAAGAAGTTGAAATTGGTCTCCTCCAAGAGCCTTTGTGAATATATCTGCAGGTTGAGATTTGGAGGGAATATGACAAGGAGTGATTGCACGTGATTGTATCCAATGACGAATAAAGTGACAATCCAATTCAATGTGCTTTGTTCGTTCATGGAAGACTGGATTGGATGCAATGTGAAGGGCTGCTTGGTTATCACAATATAGTTTCATAGGCTTTGAATGATCAACTCCTAAAGTGTGCAATAAGGCTTTGAGCCATAGAAGTTCACTAACAATGGATGCCATGGCCCTATACTCCGCTTCAGCCGATGAACGAGAGACTGTGGATTGTTTCTTAGTTTTCCAAGAAATTGGAGATGTCCCTAACATTGTGACATAACCAGTTGTGGATCTTCTAGTGGTGGGGCAACTAGCCCAATCAGAATCACAAAAACCAGAGAGTTGCAGTGAGCTTGAAGAAGATAAAAAAATGCCTTGCCCTGGCGAAGACTTTAAGTAGCGAAGTACTCTCATTGCTGCATCAAGATGGAGCTGGGTTGGAGCTTGCATGAATTGACTAAGTATGTGAACAGAAAAAGATATTTCTGGGCGAGTAATGGTCAAATATATGAGTCGCCCAACAAGTCGTCTATATTGCATGGGGTTTGGGAGTGGGGAACCACCATCAAGAGTGAGCTTGAGCTTTTGCTCCATTGGAAAAGAAACAGGTTTAGCACCTAGCATCCCAGATTCAAATAAGATGTCGAGGGTGTATTTTCTTTGGCAAAGAAAGATCCCCGAAGGATGGCGAGCAACTTCAATGCCGAGGAAGTACTTTAACCTTCCAAGGTCCTTGATGTGAAATTGAGAATTGAGAAAGTCTTTCAAATGCTGACAAAGTGTAGAATTGTTTCCTGCAATGATTAAATCATCAACATAGACGAGAACCGCAAGGAAATTGTTTCCTTGTCGGTAAGTAAACAAAGAATAATCACATAATGATTGCTGAAAACCAAAGGAATGTAAAGCAGAGGTAAATTTTGCAAACCAATTTCTTGATGCTTGCTTGAGTCCATAGAGGGATTTTCTCAAGTGACATACTCGTTGTTCTCCTTTGTTGCCATATCCAGGTGGTAGTTGCATATATACTTCTTCATCAAGATCACCATGAAGGAAGGCATTGTGCACGTCAAGTTGATGTAATTCCCAATTTCGAATTGAGGCCACTGCTAAAAGACATCTTACTATAACTAGCTTGGCCACAGGGGCGAAAGTATCATGATAATCAAGTCCCTCAACTTGTGTAAAACCCTTTGCTACTAGACGGGCCTTATATCTTTCAATGGTGCCATCAGCTTTGTATTTTATTTTGTATACCCATTTGCAACCTATGGGTTGTTTATCGGGAGGAAGAGGTTCCAAGGTCCAAGTATGATTTTTTTCAAGAGCCGCAATTTCATCTTCCATTGCTTGTCTCCACTTTGGATTTTGAATGGCCTGAGAAAAAGATTTCGGCTCATCTTCATTGGAGATGGCAGCTAGAAAGCAACAGTGAGGCATATTGAATTTTTCATATGAAATAAAGTGAGAAAGGGGATGTCGTGTACCTAGGACTCTTGATGATTTTTACACTTGAACTCCATTTAAAATATAGTCTGTTAGATAGGATGGCTTCTTTTTCTCACGTTGGGGTCTTGTTGTTTCCTGGTGAGAATTAGTAGTATTTGTGATATCATTGTCTTTTGCCCTATAATGTTCATTCGATCTGTGTTGGATAGTTGCATCTGCTTTATGGGCTCCATCGGATATTGACTCAAAATGAGACTTGTGCACATCATCAGGCTTTCGATTGTCAGAGCGTGTCAATGTGGTATCTATGCCTAAATTAGTGGCATCCTTGCTGGAGTGCAATTCATTTGCATTTGGAGAAGTTGCACCATTAGTGGCTGGAACATTTGGTGCATGATCAACGGCTTGTATGCCTCCATTACTTGTATCATCATCACTTGATTTTGCATTTTGCATGGATGTCTTCTTCAAGTGGCTATCCAAATTTGTATTTGGAATGGTCTCAATGTCCTCATCATAGTATGATGGCGAAGGACTAGCTATCGGAGCCTTTTCATTAATAAGACGGTTCCCTTCATCCTGAAATGGGAAAATATTTTCATAGAAAATAATGTCACGAGATACAAATATTTGTTTGGTATCAAGGTCAAAGACCCGATATCCTTTCTTACCGTGAGGGTAGCCAATGAAAACACACTTTGTAGACCGAGAGGAAAATTTGTCACTAGGCAATGGTGATTGGCGAGCATAGCAAAGGCAACCAAATACCTTAAGATGAGAATAGGTGGGTGACTTACCAAAGAGAAGTTCGTATGGTGTCTTACCATCAAGCAATGGAGTAGGAGTGTAATTAATTAGGTAGGCTGCGGTGAGAGCACATTCTCCCCAAAAAGATATTGGCAAATTTGCTTGAAAACGTAAAGCTCGAGCAACATTCAAGAGATGTCGATGCTTTCTCTCAACAACTCCATTCTGTTGAGGAGTATGTACACAAGAAGTTTGATGTATTATCCCTTGCTCAAGAAAGAAAGCCTGCATAGAATTAGAGAGAAATTCCTGCCCGTTATCTAAGCGCACTTGTTTGACCTGCAATCCAAATTGATTTTTAACCATATTAATAAACATAATTAGATATCGATAAGTTTCAGATTTATATTTCATAAGAAAAACCCAAGTAGCACGGGTATAATCATCGACAATGGTGAAAAAATAATGTGCCCCTGAATGTGAAGGGGTATGGTATCTTCCCCAAATATCACAATGAATAAGAAAGAAAGGCGATTCAGCATGTTGATGATTAATTGGAAAAATGCTTCTAGTTTGTTTTGCTCGATGACAAGTATCACAACATTTAGGAAAGGAATTAAGGTCAAAAGAAATATTTTTACGCAATAAAGATAAATGATCAAACGATGCATGCCCCAATCTTTGATGCCAAAGTTCCATGGAAGGTGAAACTGTAGCATTCAAAGTTGGAGTCTCATTTATTGGCTTGAAGTAATAAAGACCATTGTGCAATTCACCCATTCCAATTAGTTCCTTTGTAGTAACGTCCTGCAAGACACAGAAACTTGAGAAGAAAATCACAGTGCAATTTAAATCTCTAGTGAGCTTACTTACAGATATGAGATTGCATGTAAAGTCGGGTATGTATAAAACATTTTCAATATTAATATTGGGAGCTAAAGAAACTCGACCAATACCATGAATTGAGACAAGGTTCCCATTGGGAATTTTTGCATAGTTTTGTGTAGAAAGAGGATGCAATTGTTCAAGATTATTTTTATAACCTGTTACATGATCAGATGCACCACTGTCCAAAATCCAATTTCGCAAGGTCAAGAATTTCTTACCAGAAGCATTATTGAGAGAGGAATGTAAGGTCATGAATTCCCTACAATAATCGAGAGGAATTGTAATAGTTGAAGACTGTGACTGATTCTTGTTGCCAATGAAGCTGTCCAGAATTTTGGTTGATTCACTTTCAACCATGGTGCCGGCTGCAAAAGAATTTTTGGAGGATCAATTTTGCTCTGATACCATGTGAAAAGATAACATTTCCCTCAATCTATTCAATGAATGGAATACAAGTTTATATACAAGAGTATGTTAACGGCAAGAAAAACATAAAAGGAAA